TATCAAACTTGCCAAAACTTAAAACACACCAAACTCAAGATAGAAAGTACAAAAGTGAACAAAGCCTGCCTTCAAAGAAGGGTGACCTGCATGAAGGTTTTAACAAATGACAAGTCCACTGCCTTGTGCTGATTTATCAAGAACCATGGCAGCGCCGTTAACCCACGGAGATTTTTGGGCCATATTCAGGAACGACATAAATTCGACTCGATCTTTCTGTGCTGGTGCCCTAAACATGCCAAACATTTGGTCCAGTGGCCCGATTAACGGAGCGCCGTCTATTGCCTGAAATGAAAACATTACTTTTCCTAGTGATAAGAAAGTTTGTAAAGGTATGCGTTGGCATGAGCGAATATATTACTAACCGCACCGGCACATGAATTGCTGTACAGTACATTATACCCGAAGACACTCTTGCCAGGTGCTGATTGCAATCATTTAAATATGCAACTTTCAGATCTTCTAATTAATGAAGCAAATAGCCATGGCTGTGACGTTGCCTTCAACTGTCAGTGCTGAAATGAGATTAGAAATGACCGTTACCTGTTTGGAAGGAAAAAGAACACTAATTCAACGTGTGCATCAACAAACGATTCCCGCTAGTTTTATAGTTTATAAATAAGCGATATTGCTTGACATAATTGTCGACCTTCAAACCTCATGCCTAAGAGGCACTTGATTCTTATTATATGGCTATCATTGGCTAACACGCTCGCATATGATTAGAATTCTGTATGATCGTAGGTTTTGGTCCTGTCGATTAGAACTGCTCTAAAGCCTTAGAGAAGCCGTTCTAGCTAACTGATCGCAAGGACTCATTTCGAACATGTTTTTATCCATACTGAGTTCAGTATTCGTAATTATTTGAATAACGTCCACCTCTACCCGGCAATATTGAAACGTTTGGAACAGGTCAACGTGGAATAGAAGCTCTATAGCTAAGAACCATGAGAGATGAATGTCACGTTAAGGACTGCCGTGGATGTTAAACTGGTATTTGATCACACTTTGAACCGTTTTATTTCTACAGTGGTTCATCGTAATATAAAATTGACAACTAATGACGTCATAAGTGGCAGAAAGAATTATTTGATGAGATATGTCATCGAAGCAGTATGAGTATGAACAGCCACCACTGGAACCAATCACGGTCCAGCGAGGAATTGCTTATCTCTTTTGTACCCATTCTCATGTTGTTCATACAGTCGTTAGATATTTGTCTTGCCATTCATAAAATAAACTAGTCGAGTGATTTGAATGAGGCAACCTGATGCTTAGAGCCGTTGCCATTCTGCTACAATCTGCAGAAACTGTTCGCTCAATATGCTGAAAACTGCATAAGTCTCATATTCATATTTGTGATCAGCATCTGAAAAACGGCTGAAATTGTCCTTGGATTAGAGTTTTTTGGATCTTCTGATCATCACAACTACCCTCCTAAGTCATAATTCCAATATTTAAACGTGCTATGAAGGTGACAACAGGTTTTGAGGACGATGTGCAGCTGAGTCGTTATCTTGAAATATAAGAAATGCTGTGAATTGCATCAGAAATGCACCCTGCAAACAGAAAGAAACAGCGATCATTAACCCTGCTGGCTACGGCATTGAATTGTTTACACATGCTCTGAGATAGTAGCACAACTGGATCAACGTCCCTCATTTCCTGGAGGTGAATTTTTAGTGAGATTAAGGTGAGAATGGTATTAATAACGGCCTCTCGGACTGGTGCTCTTACGCTTTACGACTGCCTGAAAAATAGCTTACAAATCAGTGTTGTGTGTAGCTTGGCTTCAAGAGCTGGGAAAACAAAGTTTCGAAAATCTAGTGGAGCACTTGGCGAATTTGGACGTAAGTTGGAGGAGTTATTAGAGGTCAACAATGGACACAGCGTGTCCAACAGAGAACCGGCAAATTTATGTGCACCTGGTACTGTTGATTATTTGGAAAAGAATAATAAACAATCTATGAGAAGAGAACGGTCTAGAAAAGTGTGCAAAACTGGTGCTGAGATTTTCAAACACTCACAAACCTCAAATGATCAAGTGCGCATGCGCCAAAGTCTGGCTATCCAGAGGGAGATGGAAGAGTTCTGTGAGGTAACAAAAGGAGCGTATGAACATGGTAACAGCCATTGTAGCTTCATCATTTTTGATTTCCAAGCCAACGTCACATTGCAGAAAGGGAGCAAATCCCATGTGACGGAGACGAAGGAGTGACAGACAGAATAAGACACGAATTAGGTATATCTTATTTCAAAAAAATTATAATTTAACGACCTCAATAATGAAATCGACTAATTCCTCAGTACGCGGTATTGAAGAGGTTTCATGGAGAAAGCGACAAGGCGCTTCATACATTCAAAGTCCGCGTTGGGAAGACGGAAATT